CTGCTTGAAGAAGCTTAGACGGTTAAGGGGGTCAGAGACAAACACTTGTCTCTGGTGGGGTGTTTGACTAAGGCAAGAAGTACTCGATTATAGTTGCCTACGCTCTTTTGGAATACTCAGTGCCTTGTGGCCGGTTAAGGCTTGACCCAGGTCAACATGCTGACTTTGCTGGAAAATGCTAGTAAGAGGCGGCCTTATCCAATTGGCAAAGTGAATGGAGCGCTAGCTAATTGCGCCCTTGACGATCCGCAAGTGGATTCTTCCTCCGAAAGTGAAGATCTCAGTGACTATGAGCAGGAGTTCGTTAAAGCTGAGCTGAAGAAATATGCCAAGGGACCTTCCGTGCAAACTAGCGGATTCGGGGAAGATGTGGTAAGTAAACTTTGACCTGCCATTGATTCGATCATGACTCTGTTGCTTAATCCAGAGTTCTATCGGGGACTTGGTCCCGTGCCTCTCGCCCCAAGGAAAATCCGATCCAGCGGAAGTATACCAGAAGCACAACTTCACCGTCTCTTCCGACATGAAGCCGGATTTGCCAATTGATTCTCAACGGTCGCAGATATTGTCAAGAATCGACTTGAACCAGGTTATCGTCATCCAAGGTGCCACCGGCTGTGGTAAGTGCATCACCTTAACTATCTGGCCATGGTTTTAAGTGGATTCGCTGGTTTTAGGCAAGACTACTCAAGTGCCCCAAATGATTATGGACGATTTAAGGCTGAAGAACGAGTACTGCAACATTGTGGTGACACAGCCAAGGAAAATTGCTACCATCAATGTAGCCAAGCGCGTTTGTGAGGAGCGAGGATGGACGTTGGGGACTGTTTGTGGATATCAGGTGAATATTTGGGGTTGCAACGGTTTGTTTTTGTAATTAAAATTAAATTTTCATTTACAGGTGGCGTTGGAGAAGAAAATATCCGAAAATCAGATCGTCACCTACATGACGATCGGCATTTTGCTACAGAAACTGATCCGCAAAGGAAGCCTTCGCGAATACACGCACATCATCATCGACGAAGTTCATGAACGGAACCAGGAGCTCGACTTTCTGCTGTTGATTGTGCGCAAGTTTTTGTTCAGCGAAAGGGGAGATTCTTTCAACACGAAGGCATGTAGATATCAAACTTTCGTGAATTACTATCTGGAATTAACACGTCTTCTGCAGGTTATCTTGATGTCGGCCACCATAAATGCGGAAGACTTTGCGCATTATTTCCGCCGACAGGTGGCTGGCCAGATCATTTCGGCACCCATCCTAAAAGTCAACAAACCGTCGCAGTACACGAAGACCGTCTTCTACTTAGACCAGATATCGGTCTTCAGGGGCGAGGTGGGTTCGGATGTGCTTTGCTTAGCAATCGTGACACTTTTGTTTCAGATGGCCAAGTTCGACATAGGCAAGCCAGAGATTCCTGCGGCTACCTGGAGAGAGTTTGCTTTTCTGGTGCGAGTCTTCGACAAGATGTCTTCAAATATTGACGGCGACGATAACGTGAATTTCGGAAGCGTCCTGGTCTTCCTACCAGGAATCAATGAAATTGAGGAAGCCCACAAATTGCTGCTACAAGAGGGCCAACTGGCGGATCCTCACTCGACTGTGAAGCGGCTGAAATGGGACATCATTCCATTGCACTCGTCGTTGCCCAATGATGAGCAGGCCCAGGCCTTCAAACGCCCCAAGCCCGGCTACAGAAAGATAATTCTCTCGACGAACATCGCGGAGAGTTCGGTCACAGTGCCGGACACCTGCTACGTGATCGACTTCTGTCTCACCAAGGTGATGACCGTCGATCCGGTGACCAAATACATGAGCCTCAAGCTGGAATGGGCTTCGCATGTGAATTGCGAACAGAGGGCCGGCCGAGTGGGGCGCACATGCGACGGAAGAATCTACCGCCTGGTCTCCAAAGAATTCTACAGCGTGGAAATGCAACGGACCAGCTTACCGGAGATTCTGAGGGCGCCTCTGGAGCGGACCGTGCTGCAGGCCAAGATGCTCGGTCTGAGCGAAACGCCCGCTCAGACGCTGGCTCTGGCCTTGAATCCGCCCAACCTAAAGAACATCCAGTCTACGCTCTGGCACTTGAAGGAGATTGGAGCGATGTTGCGCACCTGCCGCGGCATCTCATCCACGTCTGATGGCGACATAACGTTTATGGGCCAGTTGATGGCCAGTCTACCTGTCGACGTCCATTTGTCCAAGCTGATTATCTTGGGACAACTGTTCAGTTGCCTGGACGAGACGGTCGTCATTGCAGCCGGATGTTCGATTCAAAATATCTTCTCAATCCCGTATCAAAAACGCCTGGAAGCGTACCGAAAGATCCTCCTGTGGGCGGACGGGTCCTGCAGCGATCTCATCGCCCTACTGAACTTGTACACGGTGTGGCAGACGAAGACGCGCGACAACTCATTTGGGAGTCGCAACAGCGAGCTGGAATGGTGTAAGAGAAACTTAGTGAACCTCAAGGGCCTGCGAGAGTGGAAACTGCTGGTCACCGAGATCCATCAGCGTCTGGAGAGACTGCAAATCCGAGAGACTGCGGGTCCGGGAAAGATTAATCTGACGCGCACCGAGAAGCCCACAGTGCTCAAGGTTATCATGGCCGGGGCGTTTTACCCGAACTTCTTTATTAAGCCCGCAAACGGAGAGCTGGAGAGCGAAAGAGAGGCGGTCAAGACGGTGGCCGGTCGATGTCCCTTCAACACGGTGTACCTAAGCGGATTGGATCCGAAGCAGCCCGGGCACATTTACGTAAGGCAAATCAAGCGTCTGGTACAGGATCTGGACGACAAGGCCGACGTCCACATCGGCTTCGATGGCAGCACGAAAATCTTCGTGGAGTTCAAGAGCAACTCAGGCGAGCCACTTCCCGTCAACGTTGACGGATTTAGCGGGTTGGCGTGCGCCCCTGGCCGTATTCCCCGCCCAGTCTACGAAGCCATTCGGCGCAGACAGTTAAAGTACAACTTTCAGTTAAAGCTGTTGCCGCCCAAACAGGCCTGGGACTTTGCTGAGCGTCATAAAGCACACAGCACCAACAGCGCCCCCATCGAAGTCACTCCAAACTGCTTCTCCACCATAGAATACACGGCGCTGCCTGCGTCTTGCACCCAATTTATCCAGTTGCACATTGCAGCCTACATCGATGCCGGCCACTTCTGGGCGCAGAATGCCGACGACAGAACGAACGAGCTGCTGCAACAGATCGAGGAGGCGCTCAACAAGCAAGTGCTGAAAAAAGTCGACGAGCCGCTGAAGATTGGCAAGGTCTATGCCACACGCTTTAGGCAAGATGGACTGTTTTATCGGTGCAGGCTCACGGCTTCAGCTGGTCGTAGCAACGAGGTACGTTCATTCTTGAGCCGGCCGGTTGATCTCTAAAGGCCATTTGGGCGGTTTCAGGTGTTATTCATCGACTACGGCAACATGCAGGAAGCGTTAGCGGAAGAACTGTTTTATTTGCCGCAACGCCCGCAGTGCTTCATCCCCCCGTTGGCGTACGAGTGCATTATGCATGGAATCAAGCCGGCCTATAGGCACAACCCTCTAGGGGTCTGGCATGAGAAGGTGAACGGCCACTTTCGACGCTGGAGCAACGGCATTTTGCTCTATGGCGAGGTACGATGTTGAGAGGCATTCTAGCTTAGAAAAATTCGCTGAGAGTAGGCTGCCATAGGTTTATTCCGTGGTCAACGAGGTGGTAGAGTTGGACCTGTACCGAAACCCCATAAAGGACCTGTCCTTGAACGATTACTTGATCAGGGAAGGATTTGCGGACAAGAGCTCGCCCAGTTACCTTTCGAAGGTCAGTAAGGGTTAATTTGCGCCCGCGACAAAACTGAGCAGTCGTTTTTCAGTGCGACCACGACCGCAGACTGCAGATCCAGAGCGCCCATAATCCCTCGGAGGAAGCACAGCGCTTGGATGGAGTGGAAAAAATAATTAGCTTCTCCGACTTTGTCGATCCAAATGTAAGCGCCAGCGATGCAATAATTGCACCTCTGCGCGGCCCCTTCAGTCCTCTTGAAGCAAGTGTGTACGGCTGCATCTCGATGTCGAACTCTAAATCCGTTAAGATCGACGGCAGTTCTATCAACACGGTGTTGCTAGACACCGAGCCAGAGAGCCGGCATGGCAGGTGAGCGGGCATGTGAAATTCGTCCTGAAAGTGCGTAAATATTGTATTGTGTTCTGCAGACTATTAGTGGCTGCTTCCGTGGGCCAATCAGTGGACGGCACCAGTCTGCGCTTGCGGCAAACGACGCTGATGCCCAACGTGCCGGGTCTTCCCATGATGTTAGCCGCCACTTTTTGCCCCAACATGGAACCTAAAGTCACCGGTATGTAGTCAGTCAAACGTCAAGTGCGATCTCTATTGTACCGTGGATGGCCGAGTATCAAACTCTTTCTTCAGCTTCCAACTTTTATTCACCTCGGTATAACTTTAACTACGGAACAGGAACAAGCTAACTTCAAAGTTACCGTCAACTTCACAAACAATAACAGTAACCGACGGAAAACTCGCTCTTCCGACTCACGGGGTTCAACCTCTTCTGCACCCGGTCGCTCCTGTCACTTCACTCCCCCTGTCTGGTTCTCGAAATCTCCAGAACAGTCAGTGTCATATTTGACACTGGTGAACTGGTCAGTGTCATATTTGACAGTAAGTGGGGCGCAAATGGGGCTCCCATTTACTGAAACACCATGAATTTTGATCCCTCCATTTCAAACGTGAGTACCCCAGGCGATTTCCGTTACACTGCCCCCCTTCTAAACGCTGATCGCCCCGATTAGGTAATTCTTGGATCATGGTTATATCTGGCCAAACGGTGAACGTGTGGACAACTTTTAAGTTTGCCTGATGGCTGTTCTGATTGCTCATCAACAGTTCAACGCCGCCGACGTCGCGCGGCTTTTCGCTGGTGTTTATTTGGCCCACCACGTTGTCCATCCATTGCATCAGCGTCCTCACTAGGTTAAAGAACTTGAACAGATCGCCAGTATCGGCCAGTTTTCCTTTGCGCTGCTCGCAAACCATTTACAAACTGGCCGATGCAGACACCACTTCTTGTTCTCTATTTGTGATCTCTTTAGCTCCGTCGCCCGCATAGCTGGCTCGAAGCTTGGCCGATTCCTCTTGGATCTGTTGCACTTGGCTCTGAAGCGTCTGTAGGTCTTGCATGAAGTTCTGATGTTTGCGCTGCAGCGTTGAAACAGAACCAGCATCTCGGCCCAGTTCATGAGAAGAGGCCAC